GAGAAGCTCGTTGAGGAGGGCTCCACAGCGCAGAAGGACAGCGTGCTCAAGGAGCGCGTCGACAGCATCAAGGACGAGTTCAAGCGGCTCGCCAAGGAGCGAGGGACGAAGAAGGCGAGCTTGAAGCGCGATCGACCCCCCGAGAAGCTCGAGGAGGCGGTGCAGAAGCTGGGAGAGAAGATCAAGACGTTTAAGCTGCAGATGGACGACCGCGAGGCGGGCAAGGAGGTTGCGCTGGGGACGAGTAAGATTAATTATTTGGATCCGAGGATTACGGCCGCGTGGTGCAAGACGCACGAGGTGCCGATTGAGAAGATCTTCTCGAAGACGCTGCTGACGAAGTGTGAGTCTTTGTTTCTTGCCTTCCCCCCTTTTTTCTTTTTTTTTCTTTCTGTTTTCTGTTTTCCGTTTTCGCGATTTCCTTTTATGGAAGGCATGATAGCTGACAATATGTTCTGCACTCAGTCCCATGGGCGATGGAGGCTGACGACGACTGGAAGTTCTGAGCTCGTCTGTCTCGATCTCTCGGTCCCTTGTCTCCCCCATCCACCATCCCCCACTGCAATACTCCTGGTTTTATGGGTCCGAAACCCACTATGTATGCCCGGTGGCGAATATGCCACGGAACTCGGTCACGCGTTGGATGTTTGCTGGTGGTATAGGGGGCGGATGCTAATGGAAGTTGCTGACGAGGCTAGGGTTGATTTATCTGCTGCATACAAGGATGGGTTCGTTGCTCGGAGCCTCTCATGTCTGGATTATAGATGCACACATACAGTATGACATAGGGCGGTTGGTCATCCACATTATGACGACGAAGACGATACGCAACACGTTGTTATCTACACACGAATCATTGTCAATCAGTACATAACTTTGACTACTATTACTACTAGTATCTAATTTATGGGTGTGGTTACGCGGTGTTGTTAACTAGGCTTGTAGAATAGAGCATGTCCGGGACTAGTAGAGGGTGCAATTTGATGCCACATTCACGTACTCATTCGCATCGATACGGAACATAAGAGCTAGCTACAGTACGTCCTTGAAGGACTGGTTAATAGGTTTGATAGCGAGGTTTTCCGGACGCAGACTTAGTTCTTTAGCTATGTCTTGGGTATGTCATGGATTCGGATACTGAAATCTTCGTAAATTTGGAACTAAACTGTGTGCGCTCCCGATACTCGGACGCTTCTTGGGCCAATGCGAGAGTCTGAACAAACCGGAAGACAGTGAGCATATCTGCCATACTATCAACGTTCCATGTATGACAAAGGCGATAGTACGCGGACTATCGTAGTAAAACGGAACATTACGTAGATAACTTCACCCTCTTGTTTTGTTCTTGCGCACTAGTGCTATCCGGGTCCTCCGTTCGGGAGCGGCTAGTGTTCTGCCATTTGCTGCTGATTGGTGTCATGGAAAAGAGGCCGGGACGTTGGTTCACCTCCGACACGATGTCGCCAATCCATTGGGCGAAATCATCATATGGAACGGAGGAGAAATGTGTGTCCTTCCAGATGGAAGTACCCGAGGGGAGCACTTTGTCAGGCGGAGATGATTGAAGCGCTTGATAGGCTAATGCGAGAGACCCAAGAGATAGGAACCCGTTAAGTATGGCGACGCATTGAGCATCGGTATAGACTTGCTGCAATGCACTGGAGAGTAAACGATCGTTACAGCTGTTGGCAAAGATCAAGGCAAATAAGCGGGCATCGTTGCCTTTGACTCCGCAGTTGAAAAGTAGGTTTCCTGCCACCCTCAGATCGAACGAGATCGATGTGATCTCCTCGCGAGGTATGCAGCAGGACGGGGGACGGAAATGTGCCACCCAGACGTAAAGCCAAAAGAGAGATTCTAGATCGTGGTAGAAGTGATAAGTGAATTGGGGAACTTTTTTTCGAATCAGGGAACGGGAATTAGACCGAGGTGGGAACAGGTAGAGCCGCTTTTGATATTCCACAGCCATGAAGGCAGGTGTGCTCTAGCCAATTAATTGGTAAGCCATATTCCCGTACATTGGACACTAACGCCTGGGTACTCACCGTCCCCGTGCCATGAATGTGCTTGCAGTCATGTTCATAAGGGCGACTATGCTTTACGGTGACTTTCACCTGTTTGGTGTCTGGATACCAGAGACAGTTTCCTCTGCTCGTGCCATGATGTAGCCGCCACTGTGCAACTCTGAGGCGTCCTGACTCGGTGCTGTGACCAAGCGAATGCACAGTGTCACTGAGAAGAGCCCCATTGGTTCCATTTGCTGAATTGGACAGGCTGGGAGGAGCAACTTTGTCGGCCATTGCAGATTCCGGTGAAAGCGGAGACAGGCAGTGGTAGTACTCGGCGCAAATATAAATATTGCGTGGTAGCCCCTATTTGGCTGGGCGCTTATTGGTCTTTCTGGGCTAGCTAGGAGATACCAACAAGACCCACCTGAGATATAAGGATAGGTGTCAGACGGAAATAAGCTTTATTGGGTGGGGGAGATTCAACGGGAACAGTGTCTTCGTTATTGGAATTATACACGAGACGGATATTGTGTAAACAGGAGATAACTTGACCAAAGACTCGTAAAGGGACCATACGCATAAATCCACAGTAAAGTGCTAACTACTGGTCCGTAGATAACCTGACCTTCTTGTTTGCATGTGCACTGGAGCTGTCCGGCTCCTGGGTAATGGTAAGGGGCCGCCCCGTTTTCTCTCATCTACTGCTGATTGATACCATGCGATGGATATCTGGATGCTGCTTCACTTTTTCCAGCACCTCGGTGACATGATCACAGAATTCGTCGTATAATGCGGAGCCGAAGTGGGTGTCCTTCCAAATGAGATTGCCGGATGGGAGCGTATCATCAGGCAGAGATGATTCAAGCGTTGTATAGGCTAATCCGAGAGGGTCAACAAATGAAAGCACCTTAAGCATAGTAAAGACACTATCAGCTCCTGCGTAGATTCGTCCCACATCACGGGAGAGTAGCCAGCCATCGGAGATAGCACCCGAGCGCTTTTGGTTGCCACTGGTTCCGCAGACAAAGAAACGGTTTCCTTCTGTCCTGAGAGTGCGCGAGACCGATGTGACCAGCGCAGGAGGTACGCAAGGAGATGGAGGACGGAAATGAATAATCCAGACGTAAAGCCAAAGGATCGATTCCAGGTCATGGTAGAAGTGATAAGCGAACGGCATTTGACTCCGTTGAGACAGCTGAGACAGGAAAAAATCAACATCATCAAACATTCTCTGGAGTTTTGATGAATCCGGGCGTGGTTGGAACATATATCGTCGTTCTTGGTATTCCACAGCCATGAAGGCAGGCGTGCCCTAGCCAATAGGTGAGTCGTAATCCCGTACATTGCACACTAACGCCTGGGTACTCACCGTTATCGTGCCATGAATGTGCTTGCAGTCATGTTCATAAGGGCGACTATGCTTTACGGTGACTTTCACCTGTTTGGTGTCTGGATACCAGAGACAGTTTCCTCTGCTCGTGCCGTGATGTAGCCGCCTCTGTGCAACTCTGAGGCGTCCTGACTCGGGGTTGTGACCAAGTGGATGCACAGTGTCACTGGGAAGAGCCCCATTGGTTCCTTTTGCTGAATTGGACAGGCTGGGAGGGATAACTTTGTCGGCCATTGCAGATTCTGGTGAAAGCGGAGGCAGGCAGTGGCAGTACACGGCGCAAATATATATATATATATATATATATATATATTACGTGGTAACCCCTATTTGGCTGAGCGCTTATTGGTCTCTCTGGGCTAGCTAGGACTCGATACCGACAAGAAGACCCACCTGAAACATAAGGATAGGTGCCAGACGGAAGTAAGCTTTACTGGGTGAAAGAGCGAATTCAACGGGAATAACTTCTTCCTTGGTGGAATTATACACGAGACGGGTATCGCGTATACTAAAAAGGAGCGTAACTTGACCAAAGACTCGTAAAGGGACATGTCTAAATGGATAATTTTATATTAAAATGCTAGCTACTGGCTCGTAGATAACCCGGCCATCTCGAGCTCGTTTGCATGCGCAGTAGGGCTGTCCGGCTCCTGGGTAGTGGTGGGGGGCCGCCTCGTTTTCTCCCATCTACTGCTGATCGATATCATGGGATGGATTGCTGGACGCGGTCTCACCCTGTTCAACACTTCGATGACTTCATTGCAGAACGTGTCGTATAATGCGGAGCCGAAGTGCGTGTCCCTCCAAATGGGATTACCGGAGGGAAGCGTATCATCAGGCAAAGATGATTCAAGCTCTTCATAGGCAAATACGAGAGGGCGAAGAAGCATAAACCCTTTCAGTATGAAGGCACTATGAGCTCCCGCGTAGATTTGTCCCAGATCACGTGAAATGAACCAATTTTGAGGGGCCTTGCCAGTCAAGATAGCACCCAAGCGCGTTTTGTTGCCGTCGGTTCCGCAGACGAAGAAAAGGTTTCCTAATGTCCTGAGAGTGTTCGAGAGTGGTGTGAATACCGCGGGAGGTACACACGGAGATGGAGGACGGAAATGAGCAATCCAAACGTAAAGCCAAAGGATCGATTCTAGGTCATGGTAAAAGTGATAAGCGAACGGCAGATTCCATATAGGAGGTTGACTCGGTTTAGACAGGAAAAAATCATCATCATCAAACATTTGCTGGAATTGTGAGGGATCCTGGTGTGGTTGGAACAGATATCGTCGTTCTTGATATTCCACGGCCATGAAAGCAGGCGTGCCCTAGTCATCGGGTGAGCCGTGATCCGGTAGAATGTGAACCGATATTGAGCCACTCACCGTCTTCGGGTCGTGAATCAGCATGGAATTGTGTTTATAGGGGCGGGCGTATTCCAGATCGGCAAGTTTCCCTTGCTTGCTGCCCGGATGCCAGAGACAGTTTCCACCACTGATGTCACGATGCACCCACCCTGCCTGGCGCATATAGTTTAAACCTTGGGAACACTCGTAAGAAAGATGTCAATAAGCATGCTGGCATAAGACGGTCACCTTTGATAAGGTGAATCATGCACTCCAAGAACGTAACCCAATTATCCACTTCGTACATGTTTTGACACACCTCCGTAATGACGGTTCGAACATGCTTCCGACGATGATATCGTAAGTCGTCCCAGTAAGACTTGGCGCGCCCAGTCTGTCCATCAGGGAGTTGTTGTGAAGCGTCGGTAGCACCAGGTTGGTTCGAGTCTTTCTGAGACGTAGATGTGCGCTGAGATTCCGGGAGGGGGGAAGGCTGAGATGGTTTAGGAGCAGGATTATAGTAGGCACGCTTGTTGGCGTCAGTGACACTGATCAGATCATCCTCCCTCCACTCCTTGTCTCCGTCGGGCAACTTGACGACTTCGTCAAGCTCGTAATCCAAGAAGTGACATGCCGCATCCTCAAGATCAACCCCGTCGACATGTCTGAGTGACTCCATAATTTGCCCCCTGATTACGCTCTCGAGGACCGCATCTTCAAAGAGGTAGGCATCCTTGAGAACTTTGCATTCGCCGAGCGTGTAGACATGCTCCTTGTTGTGGTCCTGGAAAATCATTTCCCTGACGCGCCAGACTCGCGTGGCTCTAGAAGCGACCCAGTATGCAGCCTCTTCGGAGATGGGAGGCCCTTCCGTAAGGAAAAACCGGTTGCCAATCTGATACCGGTACGCGATTTCGTATCGGCAACCGTCTGTCTCGGACGATGGGGGATCGGCGTTTTCGGTAACGGGCTTGAAATAACGACGAACGGTGGGATCAAAGCCAAGGTCTTTGGGTGATGAAAATATAATATAGAGGAGATACCGCAGGAACAGCTTCGCTTCCTAAATGTAATGAGTCAATCGCATTTAGATTGGATGGTCGTTGCGACTCACCTTGTGAAAATCAAACGGCTGGGAAAAGCACACGTGGCTACGTTCGAACCTCCACATGCGCATATTTCTTTTCTCAATGGTAAAGCCGTTGACGAAACGACGACAGGGATCGTTATATAAGAGCTCTGTAGCTCCGCCAGATATTTTGAGTTCATTCTGGAGTGACACGAATAGCGTCAATGAGACGACACATTATTTGGCAGACGTACTCACGTCACGTTGATCAGCAGTTTTCTTCTCGCGTTTGAACTCTCCAATGGCGACGACATCAGAGAGGTTCATCTTCGTCTCCTGTTCCTTGGGCCCCTTCGAGTTGCCGTCGAGTCGAGCGCTGGGCCGAGGCTTTCTGAGTTCAACGCGCTGGGGTTCCTGAAGCTCCTCTTCCACGAGCGGGTACATATCACTAGAATCATTGGCAAAAGTTTGCGGGTTGGTGGAATCGGATTCACGGGTGCGGGGGTCAATCGTTTGAGACTTGGCGAGGTAGCCGCGAAGGTCGGGGAACCATTTGTGTGAGGGGACTTCGGGAACGCTCCAGTCGTGCGGGGCGTTCTGGATCTTCGTGGTGGGCGCGATTCCCTTCATCTTCTGGGCTTGTTCGGCGACGGCGGCGGCGATCTTCGAGATAGGAGAGTAGGTGTTGTTCTCGGTTTGCCGGTCTTGCATGGCTGCCAGAATTTCTGTCCAACCCTCTGAATTCCAGATGCTCTTTTGCTTTAGAGTTTGAAGAAGATCGTCTAGGTCTGAGTCGCTCCACTGACTATGGGGCGCGTATTGCTCGAACCACGCTTCGGGAGAGCAAGTCATCAAATAGTTGGCCATGACCTGTGCGACTTTGAGGCGTCTTGTCTCGGCATGGTAGCCCTCTTGAAGCCCGGGATTACTGCGAGGAGTTTCGCTGTTGGCGCTGGCTAAGTTGAGCAAGTTGTCGGCCATTGTGGGTGCTGGTGGAGGGAACCAACTTAGTGAACACGCGGTGGCAAGCAGACGCGCTCCCTTTACGCGGAGCTTTTTCGCTCCAATGGATGCCCATATTAGGGCGGACACGAATTAATATTTAGTCATTACATATCTAACTTAACATGTATTGTTTCATAGTCCAAGCTCAAGCTCAAGGTCCAAACCCGCCCCTGCTTTTTTGTTCCATATTGCCACCTGTCTGTTTTTGTTGTCAAACGGGATATTACATATTTCTACGTTGTCCTGTATGGCTTCATGAGACCTATCGTGCGGCTTAAAGCTGCGCCAAGCTAATTAAGCCACGAGGGGCCGTTCCATCGAGTATTGCAGGTCCTGGTGGAGGGGAGTCGACAGCATTACTTCGCGCAAAGATGGGTGGGCAACAACACTGTGCGGAGTGTCGTGAACAATGGCCCCTATTTGACTAGGTGCCACGATTGTTCTGCATAGCTAGTCGATGTTGTTGCAGGGAGCCCAAGGGGGTAAAATAGGAAGCGGATGAAATGCCGTGCCCACTAGCAGTATATATATGTGCGTCAACAGCTGCCATGCATGAACGGTTCAAAGGCTGTTGGCTCTTCGGGCTCGGCCTTGGGTAAGTTCGGGAGATCTGTGCATGAAGCGACAAACGTTCAAAGGTGCCAACGTGTCCAACGGCAAATCGACGCGTGTCCTGAAAGGCGGGAGGTGTGCGCCGCAGTACTTTTATGAATGGCAACAAACGGGCCATCGGACGGGAGGGCGGAGACAGGGACGCCGGGAGACGGTGATTCTGATCACGTCACTGCCACACGCGTCACGTCCCCCATTCACGGGTTCACGGGCTTTTCTGCAGACCCCATAAGCGTTGTTTAGCACTACTCGCCAGCCACGGTCCTTCATTTCTTGCTGCGCACCCTCCGCACGCGCTTCACGACGCCTTTTCTAATAGGTGCTCTCCGCTCTCCCTAGTCCCCTGGTCTTTCTTTTCAACGAACAGCTGACGAACACGGAACACGGCAAACAAGAGCCAAGTAAACGCAACTTGAAGTTTAAACGTTCTGAACCATGAGCAAGTTCGCCGTCTCTAAATTTGCTGCGCTCGCCGTCGACGATGTCGAGAGCGAGGATGAGCAGCAGCTCGAGGAGGCCACGACACTCTCTGAGGAACCTGTGTACGTCCATTTCCATACCCTTGACCCCATTGTAAACATCCAAATTAATCAACTTTTTTGTTGGTCGCAACAGTAGCGACGCAGCCCCCGCAAAACTGTCTAAATCCCAGCTCAAAAAAGCCGCCAAGCACGCACGCACGGAGCGACGCAAGGCCGAGCGCACGTCGTCCAAGGGCCTCGCCAGCGGTGCTAGTGGCACGGACTCGCCCCGCCCGCTGACACCTGCGACGGGCGTCGACTCCGAGGCCGAGCCTGCCTCCGCTGTTGGGTCTGCCGCTGGGTCTTGGATTCCCTCTGGGGCTGGGAGTAAGACGAGGGCTGTGAGGGAGCAAGGGCCTGCGTCGGACGCGGACATTGAGCTTACGACGTCGGGTGTTACTTCCGGGGCAGAGGATGTCGAGGTCAAGGTGGTCGAGCCTGTCAAGACGGCTGCACCTATTGCGGTGCCCCCATCAGCCCCAACTCCAGTGCCCACACAGTTGACGCCGAAGGTGAATGGAAGTACACCAACGAAGGATGAGAAGAAGGCGGCAGAAGGTAGGCAGAGAACTTTGTCTACTGCGAACATTGCGTTAATTTTCGATAGTACCCCCAGCCGCGGAGGTCGTCCCGCGGAAAGAGAAGGAGATGCCAGCACAAGCAAATTCGGAAAAATCCCAGCAGCTCCCGCCCGTCGAAAAGTCAGCGGAGCAGACGAAGAAGCGACAGAACATCCTGACGCGGACGCTCTGGACGTTCATTATGATCGGTGGTTTCATAAGTGAGCATTTCTCCGTTTATAGGGTGCCCTTGAGTTTGGTTGCTGAATATGGTCTATTTTTCGTGCATCACAGCCCTCATGCTTATGGGCCACGTTTATATGATCATCCTCGTCATGCTTTGCCAGACGCTCGTGTACCGCGAGGTGACTGCGCTGTTCTCGCTCAAGCGGGTTGCGCCGGACTCGACCGAGATCGTCGAGACCAAGGCGAAGCGGGATCCTTGGAGCAAGACGCTCAACTGGTATTTCTGGGCTGTCGCGAATTATTTCCTGTACGGCGAGAGCATCATCTATTACTTCAAGGTGATTTTTCAATTCATTCTATATCACATCTCCGATCAAAGGCTGACAAACTATCTTCTGCAGCACGTCGTGTTCGTCGACGGCCAGCTCCTCCCCTTCGCGATGAACCACCGCATCATCAGCTTCACGCTCTACACAATCGGCTTCATGGGCTTCGTCATGTCGCTCAAGCGCGGCTACCTCAAGCAGCAGTTCGGCCTCTTCTGCTGGGTGCACATGTCCCTCCTGCTCATCGTCGTCTCCTCGCACTTCATCGTGAACAACATCCTTGAAGGGCTCATCTGGTTCTTCGTCCCCGCCTCGCTCGTCATCTGCAACGACGTGTTCGCGTACGTGTGGGGCATGACCATCGGCCGCACGCCGCTTATCAAGCTCTCGCCCAAGAAGACCGTCGAGGGCTTCGTGGGCGCGTTCTGGAGCACGCTGCTCTTCAGCCTCGCGTGGGGCACGTACTTCATGCGGTTCGACTACATGATCTGCCCCGTCCACGATCTCGGCGTCTCCGCGTGGAGCGCGGTCAAGTGCGTGCCCAACCCGGTGTTCGTCTGGCAAGAGTGGGAGATCTGGGCGCCCCTCCGCGTTTTCCTCTCGCAGGTGGTAAGTCGCATACATAATTATGAGCTCATTCCAAAATAATATCTGACGAACATTTTCTGTGTATGCAGCTCGGCCGCTCGATCACCCATATCCCCTACGTGCCGTACCAGCTCCACCTCATCGTGTTCGCCATTTTCGCCTCGCTCGTCGCGCCCTTTGGCGGCTTTTTCGCCTCGGGCTTCAAGCGCGCGTTCAACATCAAGGACTTCGGGCACAGCATCCCTGGACACGGAGGCATGACTGACCGCATGGACTGCCAGTACGTCATTTCATCCCCTTATTCATTTCGTTGGACAGCTCATTGACTGTATGCAGGTTCCTCATGGGCGTCTTCACCTATGTTTACTACAGCAGCCTCATCCGGGAGCACCACATCACTGTGGGCTCCGTCCTCCAGCAGGTCGTCAGCGGGCTCACGCTCAACGAGCAAGTAGAACTCTTCAACGACCTCGCACGCTATCTCCAGGGACGGGGCATCACACTTTGAAATTGTCGAGTTTTGAGATTACGCATATGCACGCATGTTTCTCTTCTTGTCGCAGACTTTCTCGATCGGTAGTTCCTCCTGGTACATATACTCAGTATAATCGCATTAGCAACTCGCGCTTGCAGCGGACGAAGCCGTAGTAAACCGGAATGGATTTTTCTTTCAACATTGACGCGTCATCGAGTTTTGACGAACCTCAAACCAAATAGTGGAAAGTGATGCAAGGAGTGGGATGCGATGTTTTCAATCTTTTGTATTGTGAAAACACATGATGGTTGCATGCAGTACAATAGTGACATGATCATACGCAATGGCGGGCGCATATGAGATAGTAGGGAGACAAGGGGCGTAGGCCTTTTATGACCGGGGCTTCTCCTGCAATCCTGAGTTAGTCAGGGCAACTGGAAGAAGGGAACGGGGGGAACGAACCTTCTTCTCTTTCCACAGAGCGAGGAGACCAACACCCGACACCTTCACGACCTTGAACCGCACACCTGGAATATCACCCTTGGCCTTACCACGGCGACCGAAGCCGGAGATGAGGACTTCGTCGTTCTCATCGACGAAGTTCAGGCAACCATCGTTCTATAAAACAAAACACAACACATTAGCTCCATTGTATCTCGGGGTACAGCGAGCGATGATACGCACAGGCACGAAAGCGGTGACCTTCTTGCCGTTCTTGATGAGCTGAACACGGACACACTTGCGGATAGCCGAGTTGGGCTGCTTGGCCTCAACGCCGACCTTTTCGAGCACAATGCCCTTAGCGTGCGAGGAGCCTCCGGTGGGCGAGGTCTTGAAGAAGTTGCCGAGAGTGCAGCCATCTCGACGTCCCAGAACGGCAAGCACAGGAACGGGCGCGTACCCGACGACGACGACGCGATGAGCGAGACCGAGGACGTCCCCCAGGCCCCTCGTGAGTAGTCTTCCGCGCCCCTATGCCTTTTTCGGCTCCCTTTTCTCTCCTTCCTCCGTCCTCTCCTCTGTCGAGCACAAAGGCTGACTACACATTTATCGTCCACTCTATGTAGTCTCAAAGTACCAGTGCTGCATCTAGACCCGCCCCGCGCCGTCGGAAACGCGCCGCCGCGTCTTCGGACGAGTCGAGCGACGACGACGACACGCCACTCGCCACTTCACCTGCCAAACCGAAGAAGACCAAGTCAGCCGCCGTACCCATGCCAGGCGCCAAAGCTGCAACAACTGTCTCGGCCAAGTCGGTGAATGGGAACGGACGGGCAGCGGCAAAGGCCAAGGCCAAGGCCAAGGTCAAGGCAGAGCCCAAGTCCGACCCCGAAAGCGAGGACGAAGACGAGGACGACAGCACCCCAGCGCCAAACCGCAAGCGCAAGCCGGTGGCGGCGTCTAGCAAGAAGGCGCCCCCGTCCAAGAAGGTCAAGCGGGAGTCGGATGATGATGACTCAGACGACGACGCGCCCCTCGCTGCCACTACGCCGAAGAAGGCGCCCGCTAAGCGCGCGTCGAAGAAGGTCAAAGCTGAGAGCGACGCCGACGAGGATGAAAAGCCCGTTAAGAAGAAGCGCGCGACGAAGAAGGCCAAGGACGAGTCTCCCTCTGACGTGAAACCCAAGAAGGGACGCAGCAAGTCGGCTACTGCCAAGGACGAGCTTGCGGAGGGCGAGGCCGACGAGGTGTACAAGTGGTGGGAGGCGCAGCAGGCCAACAGCGGCGATGGCGAGGAGAAGTGGCAAACCCTCGAGCACAATGGTGTTATATTCCCGCCGCCGTACGAGTCGCTGCCGTCGAATGTGAAGATGAAGTACAAGGGTCAGTACATCTTGTTTACCCCATTGTTGTACTATGGTTGTGCTAATGGTATGTTGTGTGCTACGCTCTGTTATATTAGGCAAGGAAGTCGTCCTCACGCCAGAAGCCGAGGAAGTCGCTGGCTTCTACGGTGCAATGCTGGAGACGGACCACGCGCAGGACGCGACGTTCAACAAGAACTTCTTCACCGACTTCCTCAAGGTCCTTGCGGACTACCCTCCTGTTAGTACCACTCCTGCATCTTACCCCCCACCCATGCTCACCCGACCTTCCTCTCGTACAGCGCAACGGCGTCAGGGTCACCAAGTTTGAGGACTGCGACTTTAGGCCGATGTTCGAGTATTTCGAGTCTGAGAAGGCCAAGAAAAAGTCGCTCAGCACGGCGCGAAGAAGGAGATCAAGAAGCAGAAGGACGCACTGGAGGAGAAGTACACGTCGTGCGTGCTCGACGGGCGCAAGGAGAAGGTGGGCAACTTCCGCGTTGAGCCGCCAGGCTTGTTCCGGGGGCGCGGGGACCATCCGAAGAAGGGCGCTTTGAAGGTGAGCATTCGAGCGACGCTTGATTACGGGTCGAAAGCTGACCGGGATATCTGGATTGCGCCGGTAGCTCCGCGTGCGTCCAGAGGACATCACGATCAACATTGGCGCGGGGGTGCCTACACCCGTGCCGAACATGCCCGGGCAGTGGAAACAGGTCGTGCACGATAAGACGGTGACGTGGCTCGCAAACTGGGTCGAGAACGTGAATGGGAACTATAAGTATGTGTTCCTCGCCGCGGGCTCGTTGCTCAAGGGCCAGAGCGACATGGCCAAGTTCGAGAAGGCGCGGGAACTCAAGGTCAGTTACTGTGATGCTCACGGCGCTGCGCGTGGTTTCTAACTCGTCGCACAGAAACACGTCGATCGCATCCGGTCGGATTACACCGCGGACCTCAAGAGTAAGGTGATGGCGGACCGGCAGCGCGCGACGGCGATGTACTTCATCGACCGGGTCGCGCTCCGAGCGGGCAACGAGAAGGGCGAGGACGAGGCGGACACGGTCGGCTGTTGCTCGCTGCGGTGCGAGCACGTCACGCTCGAGGCGCCCAACTTCATCATCTTCGACTTTTTGGGTAAAGATTCGATCCGGTACTACAACCGCGTCACTGTCGACCAGCAGGTGTTCAAGAATATCAGGCTGTTCAAGGATAACAAGGACGACAGCGACAATCTGTTTGATCGGGTTAATGTGCGTTCTTTTCATCGTCTTCTATGTCGTATGGGGATTTGGCGTTGATGATGGTGGGACCTTGATACAGACAAGCTTGCTGAACAAGCATCTGGCGTCGTACATGAAGGGTCTGACGGCGAAGGTGTTCCGTACGTACAACGCCTCGATCACGTTCCAGCAGCAGCTGGACGAGGGCACGCCGGAGATGGCAACGGTGCAGGAGAAGTTGAACGCGTACAACCACGCGAATCGGATGGTCGCTATCTTGTGTAACCATCAGCGGAGTGCGCCCAAGACGCACGAGCAGTCGATGGAGAAGATGCGCGAGCGGGTGCGTCGTCCTTTCTCTTTACTGTGCAATCGTGTGGAGGGGCTAACCGATGGGGACGTACGTGTAGCTACGCGGGTTCAAGTACGACTGGATGAAGCTGCGGCACGTGCTCTTCGCAATGGACCCCAAGTACAAGAAGAAGAAGGGGTTCGCGGAGGACGAGTCGGACATCGACGACGACTTTGTCGCGCAGCACGAGGACTCACTCAAGGCGAAAGAGATCGAAAAGGCCGAGAAGAAATTCGCGAAGGAGAACGAGAAGCTCGTTGAGGAGGGCTCCACAGCGCAGAAGGACAGCGTGCTCAAGGAGCGCGTCGACAGCATCAAGGACGAGTTCAAGCGGCTCGCCAAGGAGCGAGGGACGAAGAAGGCGAGCTTGAAGCGCGATCGGCCCCCCGAGAAGCTCGAGGAGGCGGTGCAGAAGCTGGGAGAGAAGATCAAGACGTTTAAGCTGCAGATGGACGACCGCGAGGCGGGCAAGGAGGTTGCGCTGGGGACTGAGTAAGATTAATTATTTGGATCCGAGGATTACGGCCGCGTGGTGCAAGACGCAC